GACACTGAGGTGAAGCAGGACGGAGCGACAGCTGATGGATTCACCTCAGAATCATGATTCTGTCTCTACAGCTTCAAAATGGAGTCATATTCTTCAGTCTCGTTGCTGACATGAGCGTAGCTCACCGCTCCTGTAGATGGCGCCGTGGCGGTTTCCGCCCGGATACGCCTCCTCGTGATGAGAAACATAAAGGAGAGAGTGACTCGACCTGCTTTCGCTCAGGTCGAGGAGACGACGTCAGAGAGCAGATTATTCCAACTTTTCGACCTCGGCTCGGTTTGATGACGTTCACTGCTGGTCTTTCTCTCCTGGGGGGTCGCTGGCTGCGCTCTCAGGTCTGCTCCTTCCTGTTTTCAGTTCCAGCATCAACGCTGACTCCCATTCTCCCCCAGAGTCACCCCTCCCCTGCAGCACTTCCCTGTACCCCCCCCCCCCCCCCCCCCAGTTGTCAGTAGCAGCAGAAGTTGTGAAGGGTTGAAGTCGAGTTGTTCTGTTCTCGTGACACGATCGACTGAAGCGTCATAGACGACATCGAGCAAAGCCGCGGTGGAAATCGAGCTCTCTGACCTCAGTGCAAATCAGCGACGAAGATTAGCCATACTGATATCCCCCTGTGATAAGGCAGTATCAGTGATTTGGGGTGCGGGAGGTTATGAGAGAGAGATGAGACAAGAGAAAATACACGGAGAGGGAAATTAAAACATGTGTTTCACTCCGTTCCTGTGACATGCTGGTTGAGGCAGATCCAGCTATGAACCAGGCCTGAAATAACCAAACTGCTGTCTGATGTCCAGAGACCGAGACGTTTGTCTCGTGTCTGAAAGAGTGAATAATCAGTTGATAAAGTAGTCTCATTGTGGTTATTGGACGTGGTTGTGTGAGGTCGTCATGTTCAGTCAGAGTGTTTCCTGCAGTAGACTCAGTTTAGAGCAGCAGGAGGACCGGTACGCTAGCAGAGTGATGACATCACCGCTGTGGGCGGGGCCAGCAGAAAACACCTGGTTTAGACACTTTTAAAGACGCCCACTGAAACAATCCAACATCTGTTTAAATGAAGCTTCATGTAGAAGATTTTCATCTTTATCTTCCTGTTAAAAGAAAGTGAAGTTCAGCTCTTTCTGATTCTGTCAGCTGACCTGCGGCTGGAGAGTGATACAGTGCACGGTGTAGGTGCTTGTGCGTAGGAACACGGTGGTTCAGCGGTTGAGAAAATGTAGTGCCAAGGGAAAGTGGTGTTTTGACGTGAACTCTCCCTTTAAAGTTTCCAGCAGCTCCTCAGTGTCGTGGTGCTGCAGCAGTCTGCGATGCCCCTCCAGTCTCTGACTTCTACGGTACCTGTTCAACAACAACATGCTAGCTCTGCTCTGCTAAAGGCAGCACACTAGTGAGACAGCACAGATGATTTAAATATACATAAACGTATATAAACTCATGTAGCATGACTCTCACTCCGGACCGTTGTGGTGCAGAGGAGCTGAGCCTTCGTTCCAACCCTCACCTCTGGTCACAAACTCTGGGTAGAGACCGGAGAATGAGCGAGCGGCTGAAACGAGTTCCCTCTGCAGGGTGTCCGGGCTCAGCCTCAGAGACAGGCTGAGGTGGTCCGGGCATCTGCCTCCTGTGCGCCTTCCTTCCTTCCAACCGGGAGGAGACCCCGGGGTGGACCCAGCACTCGCTGGACCGAGTACATCGCCCATCTGGCCCGGATCCCCCGGTAGGAGCTGGAAAGCGTTGCCAGAGAGACGGATGTCTGGGACCCTGCTGCCACCGCGACCCGGCTAACAGAAGAAAATGATGGATGATGTAGCTCTTAGACGAGGTGCAGGCTGTCGGACCATCTCTAGGTTCAGAGGAGGGGTTTAATTAAGTGTAATTAGGAGTCGGAGGACAGAGACTTTAAACAAAATAGCAGCAGTTTACTAAATTAAAACTCGCAAAACACAATCACAGTCAAGTGACGTGGAAAGTTGCAAAAGAAGCTGAATGAGGTTTAAAGCAGAAGTGGATGAGTGTCTGTCTGAGGCGTCTCTGCTCCTGTGACCACAGACAGACACTCCATGGTGAGAGGAGCGGAGTCGTGTTTGATGGATGTGGATCAGTGTGTCTGTTCATGCTCCACAGGTAGAATGCAAAAAAGCTCAGCCCAGGGAAGTGATGTTTCCTCCAGGGACACGAGGTCGGGCGCGGGGCCTGCCGTACACGATGGACGCCTTCATGCTGGGCATGGGCATGCTGAGTGAGTACACTGTGTGTGTGTGTGTGTGTGTGTGTGTGTGTGTGTGGGTGTGGTTTATTTAACACTACAAGTCTGATCAATGAGTAACAACCTAAATTTCATGTCACAACCTCGCTCACCGGTGTGACACAGTCTGTGCATTCTGATAACGGTTTAATCATATGAAGTACAAACATGGAATAAGGTGTGAGTGTGAGTGAGTGTGAAACGACAAGGTCAGTCAGCAGGTCGATGCTGCAGGTCTGACAGGTTCACAGCTCCGCCCTCAACTCCCTGAAACAAAGAGACCAGAGAGGAGAACCCTGACGCTGCGTCCACACGACTACGCTTCCTTTTAAAGCGCATCTCTTTCGCTTCCTCCTCCCGTCCACACGACTCCGGCGTTTTCGAGCAGTGAAAACGGAGACGTTTGGAGACACTGCTGGCTCCGTTTTATTTTGAAAACTCTGGGGTTTGTTGTAGTCTGGACGCTGTAATATCTCCTCCATGTTGCTGGATCCGCAAATCGTAAGGCTGCAAAAACAGAGCGCAGCGCATGAGCCTCAGAAGGACAGAGGGTCAGTAAATACTGCCATCGCCACTGAGTAATTCAGCTGAAGGACGGATGGATGTGAAGGAGGTGTCGGTGTCAGTCAGTGTCAGTATGCTTCAAATAAAGTTCTTCAGAAGGGTTGGAGGTTCAGGGAGAGCTTCCCTTCAGCCCGACATCGTTTCCATCACGTGTTTGTGGAGAGGAAACTGTTTGTGTTTGTGATTTCAGTTGAAGTTTGATGTTTTCCTGACGTGGCCTCTCGTCTCCTGCAGGTTATCCTAACATCGTAGCTACGTATGGCAGAGGCTACACCGGCTTCGCCCCGAGTTACAGCTACCAGTTCCCTGGTGAGTTCCTCACACACACGCACACACACACACACACACACTAAAGTGTGTGTCAGCAGGGTTCCTCAGGATGATTGTGTAATGCTGTGACATCAGTGCAGCCTGACCAGCTCCCTCCACACAGCGGTCTGAACTCTGATGAGGTGAAACTGAGCTTTTCTTTCCTCATTCTCTCCTCTGAAGACGTTTGAAACGAGGCAGTCATCAGGAATCCACAGTTAACACCTGACTTTATGCTGTGTTTGTCAGAGAGTGGGAGGTGGGCCGCTGTCCCGAGGCCCAGTCTGTCACCGCCGCCAACATCTGACCACACTTTCACTGACATGACTCAGAGAGACAGGCTTGTGCTTCAGGTTCGCCTGTTACAATATCATTATGATCATAATGATCATTATGATCATTTGGATCATTATAAATAAAATTAAAACATTTTAAAAATATATTTTTTATAAAATTAAAGATTAAACATATTTTTAAATAAAATGAATAAATATCTTTAAAAAAATGTATAAAAAATTTTGTAAAAAATATTTTTTAAATAAAATGAATATAATAAAAAATTAAATTTAAAAACATATTTTTTAATAAAATTGATCAAATTTAAAAAAAAAAATTGTTTTAATAAAATTAGTGCTAAAAGAGATTATTTTTCTTTTCTATATAATAAAAAAGAAAAAAAAATGTGCAGAGGAGCTGCCTCGAAGGCCACAGACCACAGTGCACCAGGGAATACACACACACACACACACACACACACACACACACACACACACACACACACACACACACACAGCTGATGGGTTGGCCAACACAGCTTGTCAAATCTCCCCCTCCTCCAAATGCTCATCAGCAGCAGTCGCTCCACACGGAGGGTTCAGGCTCCTCCCCTGTTCTTCCCGCTCCTCCACTCTCCCTGTGATTTCCTGATAGCTCCAGAACGACCTTGGTGCTCGGACATGAAAGGTGAAAAGCCTTTTTTCCCCCCCCCCCCCTCTCCCCTCCCCCCTCACCATGTCCAGGGATTTAGAAGAGTCGACTCGCCGCTGAGGTTAAAAATCGACTGTTGAGTGAGCGAGGAGCTCATCTCTCTCTGAAGCACTACCCATAATCCTCGCTGGCAACTCGATTCAGAGGAGGTCACACAGAGTGGCTTGTGTGTGTGTGTGTGTGTGAGTGAGTGTCGTGCTGTGTTGTGGTGAGTGGTGTGTGTGCTGTGTGTGTGTGTGTGTGTGTGTGTGTGAGTGTGTGTGTGAGTGAGTGTCCAGCTGTTTTATTACAGGCTGATTCTTCTGTGGCTTCAGAGCCACTTCAGCATGTTTGTTATAGACCCGTTTCCATGGTTACTGATTACCAAGCCCCGCCCACCTGGACCCACCATCCAAACCTTGCAGGATTTGGTTTCTCTGAGTGTTTTTACCTGAAATCTGCTTTATTTTTATTGGATCACTCAGAAAACAGTCAGCCAATCAGAAGAGAGGCTCAGAGCCTCCTCTCTTCTGATTGGCTCACCGACCTGTTGTTACTAGAGCTCCAGAGAGAAGCCTGAGAGAGGAGATGTGAAACTACACTGAGATGGTTTTTATATCCTCTGATGGATCAACACTTCAAATAAAACACAGAAGAAGAAACATGGAGCTTTAAGGACCAAATCTTTCCTGTTGAGGTGATTTTATTCTCAGTTTCTTTGTTTTTAATCTGCATCATTAAATCCTGAACTTTGAACTGAAGTCCAGATGCAACATTCTGCTGCTAACCACTAACTGCTAACTTCTGTTAGTATACATTAGTTCACATACAGTATGTGACAGGTTGCCTGGAGAGCTCAGTGCAGCTCAGAGCAGCCTCTCCTCTTAGCCCTTGTTTTTCCCTGCAGACTCTCCACAGCTGCATTTTAACCCTTCTCTCCGCCGCCAGTTCAAAGCCCCTGTGATGTTGCACTCAGCTGGAGTCAGGCCGCCAGAGGTCGGAGGCTTTTACACCCCCAACAGCAGGATGGAAGAGAGCGGAGAAGCCTTGTTTTCCACAGAGAATGTGTCAACAATGGGCCGTCTATTTCGAGGAGAGGCAGCACTTGGAGGCTTGCTGCGCCTTAATGCCTCAAAAATGGCTGTGTGAAATGCACCATTAGCTCAGACTGGAGGCAGCCATAATAGCCCAAGTGTGTGTGTGTGTGTGTGTGTGTGTGTGTGTGTGTGTGTGTGTGTGTGTGTGTGTGTGTGTGTGTGTGTGTGTGTGTGTGTGTGTATCCAGCAATTTGAAGGTAGAGTTGTGCAGTGTTTTGTAGTGCCTGTTTATCCTCCCTATCTGTCTCCATATATCACAAATGAAGTTGGATGTATTTTTGGAAATAATCATGCTAACATCCAGACACACACACACAGATACACACACACACACACACACACACACACACATACACACACACACACACACACACACACACACACGCACACACACACACACACACACACATACACACACACACGCACACACACACATACACACACACACCATAGAGGGTGTTTACTGTTGAACACGGCCCTCTTTGTTAATAAGAGTAAAGTAATCCATGTGTTCAGGCCTCACTCACCTTTCACAATAAATCATCAGAGTTTCTTTTAAATCCTTTGTTTCCTAAATGTCGATGCAGCTTCACATTCATCGTGTTTGATTTGAACTTTTTTTCATAAAGAGAAAAATCCACAGTGTCATATTCTCCTGAGGTGATGTTCCTATACGGCCTCTGCTTCATCCCCTGGAAATAAAGATGGACGTCGTGTCTGTGACGGCACCATCAGGTTTCTGAAGCTCAGAGCAAGCTGCTCTACCATCGCCATCTTGGCAGCGTCTGACTCTCCGCCTAACTCCTAGCTAATCCAAAAATGGACAAAGAGGAGGGGCTTGTGTGGAACTGACACTTTGTAGCAAACATACGCTCACCCACCTGTCACTCAAAGAGGCCACGCCCTCAATCGTCCATAACGTTACTCTGAGCCTCTCTTCTGATTGGCTGACTGTTTTCTGAGTGATCCAATAAAAATATAGCAGATTTCAGGTAAAACACTCATAGAAACCAAATCCTGCAAGGTTTGGATGGTGGGTCCAGGTGGGCGGGGCTTGGTGACTGCTTCGTTGTGACATCACAAAGTTCCAGAAGTCCTGACGGCTGGTTTTAAGGCTCAGTTTCTGAATACAGGCTGTGTGCATTTCTCTGTGGACTGAGGCTTTGATACTTTCACAGTATTAATATAGAAGCTAGACCTGATCTATAATCACACTACACATGGACACAGACCTTTACACTGGAGGAGCTTTAAGAAACAGTAGCTAGACTTTATTGGTTGGTTGATTAATGTGATTCTTCTTTATAAAGTTTCAGCTCTAAAGTCAAATTTATAATTTTAGGAAACAGCAGCTGCGCAGATGTGTTTTGGTTTAGAGCAGCAGCAGCCTCAGATCACCACATCTGTAAAACTTGTGGTCTAATTCATATCTGACATGTTAAATAAATATCTTTCAGCAGTTTTCATGAGTGACACTGATGTATCCTCTAAAGAAGCACACGAGGAAACAGTGAATGAAGAAGTGAGTGTTGACCTCCTCTCCTGTGTTGTTTCCTCAGGCTTCCAAGCTACGGCGTATGGACCCGTGACGGCGGCGGCGGTCGCAGCAGCTCGAGGCTCAGGTAGGGGGATCCGTGGAAGAGGCAGCGGCTACATGGGATACGGGCAGAACGCAGGGGCAGGTAAACGCTCTGTCGGTATTCTGTGTGGCCTGACGCTCTCTCCATGCAGTCTCTCACTTCTCTGGTCTGCTGTGCTTTTCCTCACACACACACACATACACACACACACACACACACACACACACGCCTGAACACACTGACAGATGCTGTATATGCTGCTTGGAAAGTGGAAGGAGAGGCTGAACGTCAGCGTTTCCTCTCCTCTCACTTGGGTGACAGATACAGCGATGGTTGCCTGAAGAGCTTCTGTACCTGCCAGCTCTGTGCATGAGTGGTGGATGATGGATTATCACCATTATAATGTTTGCATTTCCTTCTATAGGCCTGCTTGTGTGAATAACTGCTTTACATTGTATGTATTTTAAGAAGACACTTTGTCCTGTGTTCTCCTCTGAGAAAAAACTGAGAATCTTTTTAAAATATTTTACATTTTATTTTATAAGTTAAATATTTTTTGGAAACTGCTTGGACTCAAAACTTATGAGTCACATGACCCTTGTCCGACTGCAAATTTATGTCAGGTAAACAAAACTTTTTTAATCACACAACGAAATAATTTTTGTTTATTGAGCATTTAATTATATGTTATATCAACAGGAAGTTAATATGTTTTATGTTATTATGATTACTTAACACAAATTAATTAATGTGTCATAACGTAGTCATTTTATGTACAAACAACATTATATATTGGAATTTTAAGGTCAAATGAACATAAACGTTTTCATTATTCAGCTGAATACTGTTTACTATCGCACACAAAACTGAAACTGAAACTGAAATAACATCAGAATTTGATAAAAGATCTTACAAAGGAATGAATTAATCCATAAATAGATCGAGTAAATTACTCAGTATTTCATTAACTGATTTCATTTAAAATGAATTAATGAATAATGAATAAATAACAGAAGTTCAAAATCAATGTGAAGATGTTTTTTTTTTGTTTTTTTTTTATAACTTAAATTTTTATTGAGTTTTCACATGTAAATAGACAAAACAATACAGGAAACAAGTTACAGATTAGAATAACAATAAGAGTAACACTAACAAACTGTCTGGAGATGATCCTCTATTCAGACGTGTCACGTCTCATGTAAATATTCCATTTTTCCCAGTTCTTTTCAAATACATTCTCTTTGATCCTTAAAAGATATGTCAGTTTTTCCATAACATAGATTTCCTGGACAATTTCCAGCCACTGTTCCTGTTTCGGGGCATTTACATTGAGCCAGTTTCTTGTGACCGCTTTCTTACTTGCTGCGAGTAACACTTTAGTCAAGTACAGATCTTCTCTCGTTACAACCTTCTCGATATTCCCAAGATACATCACTGGGCAAGTATTTGGGATTTCATATCCCAGGACATTTTTTTACCACTAAATTAACATTTTGCCAGTATATGCTCATTTTTGTACAGTTCCAGAAGATGTGTGCATGGTCTGCCTCCACATTCAGTCTCCAGCAGTTTTGTTGTGTGGCGAGTTGCCTAGATTTTATTTTTGGTGTTATAAAATAGTGAGTTAGATTTTTCCAGCAGAACTCCCTCCATATTAATGAATTTGTGGATGTACATTGTGTCTCGCACATGTGGTTCCATTCCTCCTCTTGTATTTGGATCTTTAGTTCCGCTTCCCATTTTACTTTTATATAGAGGGTTGATTCCCCTCTGCTCTCTCCCAGAGCTCGGTAGAAAGCAGAGATGGGCTGAGACCCCTTCTGTTTGTATGAATCCATAATGACTCCAATCACCTTGTTTATAAACGTGAAGATGTTTTAATAGAGAAAGTAATTCACAAGCTGAATTAGGGGCTTTTTTTAAAGCCAGTGTTCCTTCGTCAGATTTCATCATATTTTGCTGCTGTACTTGAGATTTTACACAATTACCCAGAATGACCTTGTTTTACATCAGAATATATAAAACGTGTTTGTAAAATATGTGTCAGGAGAACGTAACTTTAAAATCAAGACATTCATCATCAGTGTTTGGAATGAAATATTTCTTGACATGTTCATAGAGTGTGATTAATGTTGAGTTAACTGGAGTTCAGACAGTTGAAGCCACTTGGTTTACGTCTCCTGTCGCCTTTAAATTGGAGCAAAACATTAAAAAAGGAGAGTCTGATGTGGTTCACAGGGATGTGTGTGTGTGTGTGTGTGTGTGTGTGTGTGTGTGTGTGTGTGTGTGTGGGGCAGTCTATACAGATTTCACATGCACACCACAAACGTGCACAGACCGTTTCATATGCACACTCTGATTTGAAGGTGGTAGCTGTGGCTGATTGGCAGCTTGTGAATGCCTGGCATGAAATGATTGTGATTAGGACGATGTGACTGAACTCTGCGTCAGTGCAGCGGAAACTTCCCTCAATCATCTCACTGCAGATAACACAGGGAGAAAAAGTTCTTTTCCATTTAGTTTTACAGAGCGAGATAACAGACCTGCTTCAAGATAAATGATCATCTCATAATTATGGAAATCTGAAATTACCTGAATGAAAGTGGGCTCTGATGCATTTAGCATTTTATGCTAAGCAGCACGGTGACGACTAAACGTACAGGAAGCTGGAGGAGTCCAGAATTACAGTGTGGACACAGTAACCTCCCGCCACTAGGGGGAGTAGTGCAGCACAGGTTAGGAGACTGTCCTCCTGTTACAAACGAGCCCACAGGTCGTCTGTGAAGCATAGTCAGGCTTTGTTGCTAGGCGACAAATAGTGGTCGCAGTAATGATGACGGGAGCAAAGGGAAAAGTGATGGTGACGTAGTATAAAGAGAGACAGAGTCCACGTCAGGAGGAGGTGGTGGTGATGGATGAATATGACACAGGAGAGCAGTGTGTTTGATTCCCATGTGAGAGTAGCATTTCGATTTTTGATATTTTTTACTTTTATTTATTTACACTCATAAAACATTGTAAATTCATTGTATATAGATTTTTTTAATGGAGACAATGTGCTGGTGAGGGAAGAAACAAATCAAGGGCTGATGTTAAACCTCACCTCAACGTAAAACAAAAATTACATCTTACAAAATGAGAAAGAAAGAAAAAAACAGAATAAACAACACAATATATACAGTGGAAGGGAAACAAATATTTAAATGAATCTATCAACCAGAGACGCAAAGAAAATAAAAAACACAAACCAAATCACTATTAGTTCTCCCTAACTCCCATCTCTCTCCTTTTAATTTTCTTTTAAAAACGGGAGCAAGGGTGAAGTTTGTAGGATGTTAAATTTATATTTTTATTAAAGTTTATATCAAAAATAGTTCATATTTTAAGTTTATAAAATAGAGAAGCAGATGGCTCCTTGGACTTTGTAAATGTGGCGAGTCTGACAAACTTTTTCAGGATTAAGTGGATTTTATGTTGTTTGTATTATCCATAGCCGTTCGACAGAGATAACCATGTTGTTATTATTGTAACCATGACGACAAAGATCATCCCCAAATCACCACAGCTGAGTCCCAGTTCAGGGGCCACATCCATCCTACACTGAAAAGATCAGTCCAGCCAGTCGACATCTCCAAAATGTCCAGAAACAGTCGAGCAAACTACAGTTTACCTTCAGTAATTAGATGTTGTCAGTGGTGTGTGTCTATGTTGTGTCTCTATAAATATAAATATATAAGACAATGATGAGTTCAGAATGAAAAACCATCTGTGGAGAGGAGAGCTGATGGGAGACCTGGAGGATGTCTTCATGGTGTCTTATCTGGGCACCAAATGAGCTGCCATTCATTCTAGATTATTTATGAGCTGCGTATTAGGCTGAAAAGAAAGAGAAGAAGAAGTGCTCTTTATGTTAATTAGTCTGTGATTCAGACTTGAAGGAGGCCAGGAATAGAGAGAAGGAGCCCATCACAGGAAGTGAAGCTAATTGCAGATGTTAAATTCCAGTGGTGATTCTGAAGCAGAGGAAGAGAGACTGTGACTCAAAGTCCTGAATTTTACAACGAGCATCACTTGTGGAGCCACAGATGTCGGGTTAATGTGTGCTTCAGGGCCGGGTGGTATTTCTAAGTCTGCAAGGTCAGAGTGCACCAGGACTCTAGTTGTCGTAGACTGAACCGAAAATGAGGCGGTCTGGTCTACGGAAGATTTCCACTGTACATCACCAGCTTTTCCCGCCCTTACCATTGCGTCACAAAATGGGACAGTCTTGTTGCATTGCTGTGACGCAGTCGGTCTTCAGATGCAGCATTCGAAGGATGTGGCCCCTGAAGTTAGTTAGTTGTTAGTTGTTTAGACAGTTTTTACAAAACTACATTGACAGAAGACAGGAACATAGGTTTGTGGCTAAGCTAACAAGGCAACTAATGTTACTTTGCATAGCATTTCGAATTACGCATCCAACCGAGTAAATCCACTGTGCTAGCAGATTTGTGTTGTTAAGTCTTCATGGCTATTAAACCCTTCACACAATGAGCAGCAAACTGTGGATACAGCTGATGCTAAGCTAACATGCAGAGCCAGCACAGCAGCTGCAGACAGACTCATAACTCTCCTGCTGCTGCAGCTAACATCACAACAACAACATATCTTGGCAAACTAGTGGGTAACCAAACATCCTTGAAGTAATTTGACGATACCAAACTTAAAAATGGGACACCGGTACCTGCTTGCTAAAGAACCAGCTGGGGGTAGCTAACACAAACATGAGCAAATGGGATAAAACAATACTGACCGACTGGCTCTGTGAAAAAAAAGCTAATGTTAGCATCTGTCAAGCAGAAACAGAGCAACCTCTGCCATTTCTGGCAAAGAAATGTTATTTTTTGCATGAAGTTCAGCCACTATTTTCTTATATGAATAATCTTTAGGTGTCAAATCAAACATTTTAACAAAAATGAACTGTCAAAACATCCATAAAGTATTTAAAGTTTTTACGGGCCCTGCCATTCTCTTTCCCGTCTTTCTCTGTGTGCCTGTCATTC